CTCAGAGGTAATTAAATTTTACCCGGTGCTTCCTTGACTTTAAACTTTTTATTTCTTCCACTATTTCTCTTTGTGCAAATGGAGCGATAACCTTTTCTGCTCTCACATTTACCTATGCAATATTTATTTTTGGGTGTATCTCACTTGGACTAAAAATTTGTTCAAGATGGTCTGGAAATATTTCAGCCTTATGTTTATTTTCTATTTATTGCCCTAATAGAAGTGACATGTAAAATTGGTTTTTTCATATTTTTTGCAGCCCTTTCTAACGAATAATTACTTTCTTATCCGACGGGCAAATTTTTAATGTAATTATCAATCTTCTTTGATTTTTCTTATTTTTCTTTTTAGATTCTGAGTGAGTCGATTGGGTACAGTTTTATCCGCCGGATCTCATGAGTTTTGCCATCTGCGTCTAGGTCTTTTCTTTTCGATTATTATATTCAGTATTTCTCTCGGTAAGTCATATCCACGGATTTATACACATATTGTTTTGTATTATTCCAGGCAGCGCTTTGTATGATTTTGTTGAAATTCTCTACCTCAGAATCCAAATCATCTTAGGTTCGTACTTTAATTCCTAAGTTTATTTTATTCTCTATCTCTTCTTTAAAATTAATCCAGTCAGTGGATTTATTAATCAACAAGTGCTTATTTTGTTCTTGGTAACTGTCTCAGTTAAGTTTAATATAACTGCAGAATGATCCGAATCCAAATCATAATTATCTTCTAAATTAATGAAATTTGGCGCGATTTTCTTGACAATAAAGAAGTCTAGCAGATCTGGTATCTTATTTCTATCAGTTGGCAAATATGTTTGTCTACCAGTGGATTGGTAGTGACAACCAATCTCTTTGATAGCTTTTCTTAGCTTTCTATCTCCTGTTGAGGTGAACCTAAAACCGCAATCAATATCTTTGCCATTATAGTCACTTCCCAGAATAAAACTTTAAGAAGATTCAGGATATCTTTGAATAAACCACTTTTTATAACACGTCCCGGAGAACAGTAAAATACAACAGCATCGAAATTTTGTTTATAAGACTCTACTCGTACAGCAACAAATTGGCTATCGTTTCTTTCTACTTCACTTATTTCATTATTTTTTATATTATTCCTTATCAAAATAGTGCAACCATCTCTATAACATGTAACCATTTATTTTTATATCTGTTTGCTGTTTCTAATGCGTCTCTGTTACTAAACATATATCAATATTTTAGGTCATTAGGAATATTTGTAACATACACTTTTTGCATTATATATATATTACTTTCAGCAGGTTTTTGAGGTGGTTAATCTCTTCGTTCTTTGGTATGGATATATGTTTCACCCCTCGCCACTTGGGCATATTGTATTTCCTACACTCTTTTACTCAATGTAGTTGTTTTTGAGGTTTTTTGAGTTTTGGGAGTATTTTTTGGTATTATATTTATTTGTTTCGGTTTTGTAAGGTTATTTTTCCTTTTTTGTAGTTTCTTTGGAACTACACTACCCCTGTAATTTGCAGGATGTGTTTTGGAGCAATTTGCACACTTTGGAGCATCGATTTTTTGCTTACTACAATTTATCGTTCAATGAGGACTGGCGCACTTGACACATTGAGCTAGACTTTAGCCAAACCTCTGTACGTATCCGTATCTCTGACACTTCTCTGCACTGAGAAACTAAATTATTTCTCCTTAGTGTCTCAATTTTAATCTTCATGTGCTGAAGTACATCAATTTCGTAAATTTTATTTTTGCTCTCCGAATTTTCAAAGATTAACATGAAGAGGGGATGTAGGATCATAGTAATCTCGTTTTACTTATTCTGCTTTCTAATTTTATTAACTACTTCAAGAACTTTAAAGTTCCTCTCTTTTAGGTCATTTTTAATACCTTCAGGTTGGCACGAAGGGTGCAAGCCTCCAGCCATCACCTTGATGAGTCTTGCCATTTTATTTTCGTAGATATGCCACTCTACTTTAAATTCATTTATTGTTTTTGTTAATTCGCTGTGATCTTGTTCTTGATCAACATTGATTTTAAGTTGATTATTATTTATTATGTTGACCCTGAAGTTTATTTTGGCTTCTTTAAGCATCTTCTTTTTTTTTTTGGATATTCCTTCACATTGCTTAATATAACAGGAGACGATTTGATCTTTCCTGTAGTGTTTGACTTTTCTTATGGTGCATTATCTGCAGAAATTTTTCTTTTTTGCTCAGCTTGTCCTCAAGACTTATTTCAGGTGACATATCTGTTCTTCGCTTTTTGCTTTTTCTCTTAGAAATCCAATCGGTATCCCAAGCCAGATCCTCCTCGTCTGCCCAGTATTCCACTTTGTTTGTCGCAACTTTTTTCGTATTTATTTCCGTGAGACCAGCCTCCGAAGAGTGTGGATTTTCCAGATTTACTGGATTACCGCTTGGGGTATAAAATTCTTTTGTTTTGTTCATTGCATTGTTTTGGTTTTATTTCGCAGTTTACTTCTCCTAGCCTTTGGCAATAAATATCTCGTGCAAGGCAGTATTCCCAATTTCTGCCGTACCTCAGGGATCAGTCGCAGACCAGACAGTCGTCCATTCTGGATCAGACACTTCTGGATTTGTACTGGATTTTAGTGGAGTCATACCACAAGCATTTCTACTGCGGGTAATTGGATTTTCACTATAAGATCAATTCTATCAAGAATATCTCTCGTAACTCTGAAATTCGGAAAATTACAAATATCATATTATTAATTATGAATATCATATTTATTAATTATGAATATCGTAATGGAATATTCGTAATCATAAATTACGTTCGTAGTAAAAATAACCCTCAAAAGCCTACGAAAAAATAATCAAACTTAACAAGTACGGCCTGATGGTCTATTTCGCTATTTTACTCAGAAAATGAGAAGAAAGTGAGTAACTATCATATACTTGTATAATATAACCTTCGAGCGAGAAAGATTATTCCGATTGCGCATCTCGTTCTTTTTAAAAGTTAAACATCCATTCGAAAATACTAAAAATTCTGATTTGAAATTCAATAAAAAAGCGAGATATACGATTAGGCTGATAATTTAAAGAAATATCGTTTTTAAAATTTGAATTTTTTTATTTTAAGTAACTAGCACAGCTACCACTAAAGGAAATGAAGCAATTACACCGAAACTTCAGAAATTTAAAATTAACTTTAGAATATTTAAAATTGACTTTCGGAGTTGTATGGCAGCTACTCGTACCAGTGCAGAACATATGTTTTCAAGACTCTATTACTTTTTGAAATATTTAAAAAAACCTCTTTGAGTTGTATGGCAGCTACAAGGACCAGTTGTCCAAATTGGTCCGATTACAATAGCAGCCGTCGTTAGTACAAAAGAAAAAACTTGTGAAAGTTTGGTGTCGATTGCATTATTCGTTTTTAAGGTATCGTGCTATCGGACGGACGGACGAACATGTCTAAATCGACGCATAATTTTACGCTGAGCAAGAATATATTATATACATATGTATATGACCATACCGGAGACAACTACTTCAAGTGGTTACAAACTTCATACCAAAGTGAATATACCCTTCAAAAAGCGCAGGGTACAAAAATCTCTAAATAATTACTGAAATAAAAACCAAAAAATATAAATAAACATTTGGCAACTGAAATAAAATGCCGATTATGACAGTCTGAAAAATGGTACTGTCATTGGACCTCTCCAAAAGAAATTTATGAATTGTGAACAAGACTGACAGAAATACAGGCCTGGACCCTAAAAGAGAGTGACAGTTCCAGCCAGACAGCTGATGAATTTACACGTATTCCTATGGAATCTATAGAGGGCCCCTTTTAACATCTTAAATCTCCCACAAGATCAAGTTTTTTAAATTTTTAATTAGAAAAAGTTAAAATTCAATCTTTTTCTACTTTACTAGTGCTTACATTCTTAAAGTTTTGTGTTATTAAAATATTAAAAAATTGAATTAAAAAATACCTTTCAGGTTCCGTTAATTTTTTAAGATTTCAATAAATGCTACACTACAGGAAAAAAAGAATATTGCAATTTTGTTCTTTTTCGAAGTAGTAGATTTTGGTGTATTTTTTCAAATTTGAGAAAATGTACATTTGATATTAACTAGTTTGCTAATTTTGTATGATATACTTATCTCTCAAAATGCATACTTTTGATAGAGTCACATACATATACATATATCTAAATATTCTTCAGTGTATTCTATATTATTTAAACTAATATGCTTCATAACTCATAAAAATTATTTCATATGTGAATTATTTTTATAATAAAAGTCCACATAATTCCTTTTAGTTATGTATGTATGCGTATGATTTTAGTTTTATATCGAAATACTTTCACATTGTTAGTAAGGCTAATTCACTAATTTACCTAAACTACCGCATCAGGAACTTAAACAAGTTTCTTTATAATATTTTGATTATGTTTGTTTTTATATAGGAGACGAAGCAATTTTTATAATTATAAAACTCAAAATCAAATAATTACAAACTTAACTTCATTTTAAGTCATGTATTCAAGACTTAAAAAACATGGCACCAAATATTTTTTTATTTACTGTATTGTGTAACATTTTTTACTCTCAATTCTCTCAAATATGTTGTCTGACATGGCGGAGCATAAAAATGCTCTTTTCCGCATTTTTTGTAAAATATATTTAATCAAAATTATAGGTAAAATTTTGAGTTGAAATTTGAATTTTTAATAGTGTTGTTTAGAAAACTCCATGTTAGTATAGAAATTTTTATATTTTAGTCAACTTTTCGTATAGGAACTCGAAATGAAAAGAGCAAAATCATAATTTTTCTAAAAAAAAACAAAAAAAAATTATTCTTCAGAAATGTCATTACGCCAAAAATTTTACAAACACATTAAAAAAGAAGCAGGGTCCAGGCCTCAATTCTTTGTAATGTCAAGATTATGATCATTCAATAGAAGAATTCTACAAGTAGAATCAATCCATGAAGGGGTGTCGATTTTGTGGGCAAAATAAAAACAAAGATGATCCCTCTTTTAATATTTCTAATTCATTGATACTGGCAATATTGATGCTTATACATTAACATATTTATCTGCAAGTGCGAATATTGACATGAGTTTGGAGTATATTTCAATTTAATAATTATTAATTAATATCATGGCGTACAACAATAAAAATTTGTTGTGTGTTGCGGATAAAAACGAATTAACACAAAAAAAGATTTCTGATCAAATACCTGGTTTATATGCAATATATCGTCCGCCACCAGAAAGAAGGTTTGTTGCTACGCTAAACTTGTGCAAATTCAAGAATATAATAATTTTAGAACTTTGCCACCTCATGTGCCGAAGGGAAAGTTGTATTTATTAAAACCTAGAATTGTCCAACCACACAATATTCCAGAGCATAAGAAAGTAAAACCACCCAAATTTATTCCTTTCGAACCGTATCCTTGCGCAATTACTGAGTTTAATAAAACATTTCAAAAGAAGATTGACAACAAAAAGACTTCGCATATTCTGCAACAGTCGTGTATGAAATCTACTGAGGTAGTAATAAGCGATAAACAAACAAATAGTACACGTGAGCTACCGGAGTCTGTCATAAAATTGAAAAAGGAACGTGACTTTTTTAAGAATCAATTTAAGATGCAAATACAAATTAACTCAGAAATAAAGTCTTTATTGTTCGCTGCAGTAGGTCAAGATTTGCAGAACAATATTACAGAAATGCAAAAAAATAAATTGCATATAACTAAAGTTTGTCAAGTAATGGGTTTTTAAAATTTTAGTTCATATGTTTAATAATTTTAGGTCCTGCTGGACACCATGAACGATTTGTCCACACACACAGAACAAATAGAGTTATTAAGCGGTCAATGTGAAGTTTGGCGAAGTAAATTTTTAGCGGGTAGCGTGATGATAGAAAAACTGGCTAACTGGAAAACTGATCTAGCAAGACAAAAAGAAATTTTGATAAACACAAATTTCAAATTGCTTAAATTGATTGAGAATCTCAGATTCATGCACCTCGAAATATTAAGAAATTTAATATGTCTATCTGATACAAAAAAAATTGATTGTGTTTCTGGAGACGTTATCACACTGTCACAAGAAAGCTTAAATATTACTCAGCTAATGTTAAATAACAAAGTCCCGAAAGAATTAAACTTTGAAAATATGAATCCTTTTACTGAAGTGGAAAAATTTTGTTTGCAAGTAAGTTAAAACTAACACATTCTTTAAATAAATTAATATGATAGAGTTTTAGGTTCTAAACCATTTAAAAAATAAGTTTCTTGAAACAGATGAAGCATTTGAAGCTGTAGTTAATCAAGCTAAACTAAAAGTTGTTGATGAATAGTGCTAATAAATTGTCAACAGGGAAAAATATTGTAACAAAAATCTTTTATTTGCTATTGTCTAAATTTACAACAGTTAATTTATTTCAAATCAAAATAATAATTACAAATCTAATTCGTTTTTTTTGTTAATAATGTTATCTCTAAACTTATTTCAAAATGTACAAAGTTACCCAAAAGAGAAAGAGCTAGAACCTTGTAACATCGATACGTCTTCATTAGGCGGACCGGGATTTTGAAACTGATCAGCAGATAATCGAGTAAAAAGTATTCCAATACCTTCTATTAGAGCCAACAAAACACCTCCAATAATAGCGCTACCTGCCATAGCAGGTAATCCTACCGACAAAAAAAATATTAATTATATTTCCTCAAACCCTAGTTTTTTATAAATTACCATTTCTAGCAGACAAAATTCCTCCGGTCATAGCGCCGCTAATTATAGAATTCCATGGGTCTTCCTTTTTTCGAATGTGAACTAGTGTACAATCTATAGTGCTGAACATTCCCCCCCAAACAGCAAAATTACCAGCTATTATTGGCGAACGAGTTTTTATTGCTGATACACTTCCCAACTGTAATTAAAAATGTTTTTTTAAATTAGTTGTTTTGATTTTTGGATTTTTTCAGCTATTTAATAAAGAGAAAAGCTTTTTATTCAATTCTTGTATAAGCTGAAGATATAACCTATATATCAATAATAAAATTTTCGTTTTTAAAAAGCTGAAAACTCGAATTTTTTATTACTCCGTAGTTTGTTAATCAGTTCATACCAATCTACGATTTATTCCAGACGGAGCATTCCGGAAACCTTTTATTGCTTGGAAAACACCGCCTCCTATACATCCCATTGCAAAAGCTCCGCCACAATCATCAACAATACGATATGGGCAAGGTTCTCTCGCGTACTCCTCCATTAATGAAATTATTTTTTTTAACACACTTCTGCAAAATTTTTAACAAAATTTTAATATTTGCATAATTTGAAATTTTAATAGTTTTCATATATTTTTTAGTATATAAACATGTATATGCACATGTATTAATTAGTCAAAAGTCACAAAGAAAATATAACACATAGAATCTTGACATCATAAAAGTATCGACGACTGACAGAACCACGGCTGACAGGCTTGGACATTAAGAAAGATGAAGCTGACGAATTTACACGTATTCATATGGAAGCCGAAAATATACTTAATACTTCGAAAGAAAGCGTATAATCGGAAAGTAGTCGTTGCAACATGAATGTGTAATCATGTAAACATCATAATACATTAATCATAATAGTTATAATACTTTATCGTAATACTTTAAAGTTTGGTGTCCAAAAATGTCAAAAATACCCGTAACATATACCAGCTGCGCATAATTTTTTTTGTGGTTTTGAATTGATTCAAAGTTTTTTGAATGGAAGCTGAGAAGTAAATAATTTATTATTTTACCTCAATAAATAATAAAGTAAATTATTTCTTCATGCACGGTATTAATATATTTATATATTAATACATTAATATATTAATAAAAATGTTCCAATATATTAAAGTCTCCAAAACTTAATTGAAATTAAAAATTGTTTTTTAATAGATTTTTAGTTGTTAATAATTTTAATAAATTTACACAAAACCTTTTCAAAATAAACAGCAAAAAACATTATTTTGAAAGTGTCCAATAATGTCCAAATAGTATTGCATCAGTAAGGTAAAGGCCTCACATCGGTATAGAATTAGCAACTTTTTTTTGCATTGACACATTTTTGATTACTTTCCGGTTATACCCGAAATTTGCACAATTGTTTTCTTGTAGTATGGTATTGCTTTAATAACACAAAACTTTTAGCATGTAATCAAGTTTAAGCATGTAAACTTGATCTTGTGGGATAATTTGAAGAAAGTTGCTCTTGTGGAAAATAAGAAAAAAAAATTTTATGATCTTAAAAGGGCCCTTATATCCTCCATAAGAATGATTATAATTTCTATCCGCCTGAAAATATATACGTATATTTTACGCATTTTTATACCCTTACGAGAACGCATGTTTGAAGGGTACACTAAATTTGCCTTACCGTTTGTAACGCTAAGAAATAATGGTCTGAGATCTAGACTCAAGTATATGTTTTTGATCGGCATTGAAATCTGAATCGATTAGATGTCCGTCTGTTCGGCCCAATTATAACTCAAAAACTAGTTGAGCTAACTTTACCCAATTTACACAAATGATTTATTGTAGTAAATGCCAGAACTCTATTTAAATTGGTTATGATCGGGGTACTGGTTCGGGTACCTGTCATATAACTTTCAAATTTATTTCGCTATGTCTCAGAAACTATGAAAGCTGTGGTTTTGAAATTTCACACAAAAGAATATATGGCCAATGTGTTTTATAGAAGTCGTTGAAATTGCTTGGCTCTTTCTGGTAGCCGCCATACAACTCTAAAATATTATATGGCATTATCTCAGAAAATAGTGAAGCTATATAATAGAAATTTTGTCAAAACGGGTGTATTATGAGGGCTGTTATGTGTAATAAAAATCGTTAAAATTTTTTTGACTCCTTGTGGTAGCTACCATACAAGTTCACTAGAAGTTTGACCATATATTAGAAAATATATAAATCACAGTACTAAAATTTTGCTTAAATTAATATGGTACCATAAAGAAATTTTCAACACTTAGTAGCTTAAAATAAAGCTAGAGAAAGCGACCAAAATTTTGTACAAGCAAATTTCGAAGTTCCAAAAAATTTCGCACAAAGTTATTGGGTTGAGAAAAATAAAAAAATATAAGAAGAAAAAAATTAAATTTTTCCCAAAGTTCGAATGCTTGGTATTCAAGTAGAAATTTCGTGAAAATGCGTTAAGATCCATCTTAACATTTATCCATTATTCAATCTCAGAAACCCTTGAGATCTCGCACCTAATCCGGAACAAAAGTTTTGTCCATTTTCGACCCCCTAAATATCCCCCTGCCCCCTGTATATTAAAATTTTCATGAAGGAAAACGAGTTCATTTTAACTACACTTGTTTTTGATTGTTCATTGTTTTTTGAAATGTCTAATACTGAAATTTCTAGTACGAATTTTGAAAATATGAAATGTTGTCACTTGACAGCTGTAATAAAATAGCGCTTTCGACTCTCCGAAGAATAATGTTGCCATTGCAGATTTATAACCACTAGAGTAGGATTTATAATTACTCAAAAGTCTACGTGCATAACTTAGTTCAAAATTCGCATAATTCACATAACTCACGAGTGAGATTCACATTCAAGGGTGATTAAATTTTACAGTTCCTGATGCGAAAGTTTAGGTAAATCATTGAATATATCTCCTAATATAACTAAAATCACACACATACATATGTATGTATGTAAACCGAATTATAAAAAGAAAGAGTAAAAAGAATGCATGATATATGCATTAATTTTTATGAATTATGAAACATATTAATTTTTATTAATCCAGTATATCTGGGAGAAAATGTAGATATATATGGGATTATATAAGAATCATGCATTAGTGACATATTATACATAATTAGCAAACTTAATTAAATGTGCATTTTCTTAAATTTGAAAATATGCAGAAAAAACAACTTAATACGTACTTCGAAAAAAAAATGTAGTGTAGCATTTATTGAAATTTAAAAATGTACACAGCCCGGAAAGTTTTTTTAAAACAAATTTTTTATTAATGTTATAACACAGAACTATAAAAATATTACAAGTTGTGCTATACTAGTAAAATATAAAAAGATTGGATTTTAATTTTTTAAAATTAAAAACTTGAAAAAAAAAATAATTTTGTGAAGATACATATGTACATACATACATATATGATGTTCAAAAAGGCTCTCTGCAGCGTACAAGTTTTGTATTACTCAATTTAATAACAAAAAATAAAAATATAATAAAAACACATTTAAAGTTTCTGCTCCTTTCCTTTTTTTATTCTACCTTTTTTCTCTTTTTAAACTCTTGTAGTTTGTATAGTTTTTTTAAATATATTAGAAGAGTTTTATTAACTTTTTTATAACACTAACTTTTTATATAATTATTTACAACATTTGTGTATTTCTTTAAAACATTTACTGATTATAATTATTTTATAAAATTTGTATACATATTTTTTTATAATATTTGCAGGTTGCATAATTATTTTATAAAATTTGCATATCTAATATTTAGAACTGAAGATAAATTGCGTTTTATTAGTACCAACTAGAAAATCTGACTTTTGATTGAAAAATGCAAATGTTTTCTTAGCACCAAGTAGTGGTTTATTGCAAATTCAGCATTTTTACCTGTTAGAAAATTTGCTTCGCGATAAAAAGTGTCGTCTGATTTTTGCTAAAAAACAAAAATTAGGTTTCAATCATTTTGTTAATTTTGAATTGAATTACGAAAAAAGTAAAGACATTAAATACATAAATTAAGACGTCAAATTTGTTTAATAAATTTTTCTCATAATTCGATTAATTAAAATAAATATATTTGGTAAACAGAAATATTCGATTTTATGAGAAATTTGTTAGTAAATTTTTTCATAGCCTATTTATTAAAAGTTAGATTAGGACGACGCGGCTCTGACAAGGTACACATAGCCCAGTAAGCCCCGTTGTGATACCGGCGGATCCACAAAATCCCCCGCCCTCATGAGAACTGTAGAAATTAATGGATCCGCGCCATTTGTTGTCTTTCTCCCATCAAGTCTGCTTAGGCTGGACTGAAGTGCCAATCTCTTCGTAAATGAAATGGCAGAAGTTACATAGTCGATCCGGCCAGTAATATATTCCCCAGCCCGAGGTATGGCCGAGCGACCCACGGGACCATCGAACCACTGAGACTCGGCTCTCAAGCGCACGGCCGGTTCTGCCGCCAGCCGCCTCGGTAGAATGTCCACCGAAATAAGGTGAAAAAGCAATTCGAGAGCCTGTGTCGGATTATAGCGTAGAGCTCTCCTCGCCCCCCATCATTGCCATCGTTTGGACTTTGCTTATCAGTTTTAAATTGACAGAAGTACTGGCCAACACACCAAAACTCCGTACAGAAACAAGGGCCTGATCACCATAGTGCAGATCCAGTGAACCATGCGTTTTTGCAGACCCCACCTCTCCCCGATGGCGTCCTTACATGAGTAAAGCGCAGTGATCAGCGTTGTCACTTGGATACAATTGTTTCCATTTGGATACATTTTTGCTTTAAAATTTAGCTTGGATACAAAGATACGCAAATCTGCTAAAACGTCGAAATTGGCTACATTTTAAAATTTTGCTGAAATATGGATACATTTCTTTCTCGAACACTAAATAAATTTTACCAAACTTTTAAAGTGCTACTAATATTAAATCGCGGAAGTGCTTTATCTTCCAAAAAAATGTTATTTGCTGACTAAAAAAAATTTGTCCGTTTTTATGGTGAAACGTTGGGGGCCAAAACCGCACTGTCACCTCCTGGTGGGCCCCGGTAATGGCGGAGGATAAAGGGGTGATTGAAACGATCAAAGTTACGTTCGTGTCGTGGTCATGTCTCGCGGCGAGCCTCTTGCTTTGTGAGTTTCAGCCCTATATCTATACGTCAGCTGACGACAGGCGTCCCAAGTCAAGGTGGAACAGCATATGCCGATGACTGCGTGGCTAAGGGGGAGCTTAGTCGTTAGTATGCGGACTCTGGACACCAGGCGCCCTCCAGTTTAAATGAGCCTTCGCATGGTATGCCGGGCTCTGCCATGGGTGAAATGGAAAACAACAACAACAACAAGACAAATAACAACAGTGACAACAACAACAACGACACTAAGGACAACATACAACCATTTAGTGCTCAAGGGTCTTCGGAACCAGAGCTTCTCTTAACTGACGCAGAGGAGGAACTCCTTCTCACGCCAGTGGAGGAAAAGGCGGCGCCTCCGATGGAGACGGATAATCAGGATCCTCTTGGACCTATTATCCAAAAAACTGAGGAGGACCTGAAAAGGTTGGACATCAGGGGAAAAAAACAATATTTCTCTGGTGCATCCAAGCGGCGTATCGCGGCTTATATCAGGGATGGCATGTCCCCAGAGGAAGCTCGCAGAT